ATCCTCGGCGGCGAGGAAAAGAAAAAATTCAAGAGTTTCATGACAAACTACAATAACATATTTGTCAGTAATTGCCGCAGTAAGGAGTCGCTTGCTTGTCTTTCTGGAAAAACTCACAGTTTCAAGATGAAACTTTATTCGTGATAGTGAACCTCTCTTCTCCCCATGTTCAAGTTGGCTGTTAAATCGATTCAGTGAAATTGATTTTCTGAAAAATACACGATTATGTTATCGCCTCAGAAAAACCCAATAGACAACAATAGAAAAACTGGAATTTCATATGTAGAGTAATAGTCGCCCTAGGGTTTTATTGAGTGAAGCGCAAAAAAAAATTGAATGAAATTAAAAAGTGCATAATCTAGTTGCGAAGGAAAGTTCGATGGTCATTGGCAAGGAAATTGATATTTGATGTTTTACCTGTGGACCACGCAAGATGTATGCATAAAATTTTTCAATATGAATATAAACTTTAGATATATGTGTAGGGTATTCATTACTCGTTGTTCATAAGTGAATGTTTTGCTCAATGAGACGGTCAGGGCGTAGCCTGTAAGGAAAGAAGTTAATTAAAGGTGTTTCTACGCCTAATGAAGTGAAATGTTCTAATATGATATACATGGGTAGACTTGTTTTTTCTTACTTTATCTTATGATCTGGGACATGCCCTTGAAAGGTACTCCTGGCCGTGAGCTCAGAAAGAAGTGCGTAAAGAGAGATATGTAATAGTTGTAGTTGGGAAGGTATGTGCACGATTGGCTGGGCTTATGCCTTCGTCGATCGAGTGCTCATAATAGCTACGATCTTTATTGAAATCTATATTCTACCGTTTTAAGCATTGACACCGACTTGGTAACCATGCTGCTGAATTGCATGGCTATGAGGTACATGTACTCGTTATAAGTTAGTTCCTGTAAATGACTTTTTAAAAACCAGCCCTTTCAAATTCGCAAAATAAAAAAAACATTTGGAAATAAAATCATTACGGAACGATAGGAGCCTAATTGAGAAATTTTCCATAACATAGGGCAATATTTGATGGAATGCTAAAAGCACTTATGTTTGCTTACATTTTAAGAACTTGCTTCCAATTCATCTATAATCTCAAACAATCAGTTGTATCACAACATTAATTTTTGCATTGGAGCTACAAAATCTTCTTGCTTCTCTGCGGACGTTAACTTCCTTTCTGCACCTCTACAAAAAGCTAGATTGTTGTCTTCTAATTTGCTTTACTCGAATGCAAATTTACTGTCGGATTGTATATAGCTTAGTGGTTGAGTAGCTCTCTAATTCTACATCTATTTTATAATATGTAGAAAATACCCTATAAGAGCAGAATTTCTTCGTGCATTTCGTGTTTTATTAATTTTCAGCAAAATCTGCACATTAAGCATAAGTTTTACCCATTACTTATTTTTAACCTCTTACCTGAATAATTTTATATCTTATTTCCAGGAAATTCCAATCCTCAGATTTTATTAAATTTTGTACAATTACTTGTGTTAGTTTAACTGCCTAATATATTTTCGGGAATCCCCAATATCAATGATATAAAATTTTCCGACCGCAGGTAAAATTTAGATAGGAAAAGGTACGGCTTCCTAATCCAAAGATTTGCTATAAAAACATCATCAATCGCAAATAATCAGACATTCGACAAGAATAACACATTGAGTTAAGTAATACAACAGCAGCACAAAAGTGACATATTTCTCATTTTACCGCGAAAGCAAGAAAGTTGAAATAATTTTAGAAAAAATGGTTCATACTTACGCCAACAACGAGAACTCTAATACTGGGCAATGGTATCCCAACAATCGTAGCGAACGGAAAGAATTACTAGACCGCTTACGTAATCTTGAAGCTGAAAATCAACAACTTCGATGTCACAATCGCTGCTTACAACAGGAGAACGCTTGGTTGAAAGATCAATTAAGTCAGACACAAGAACGTTCAAAAACTTTCGAAAGCAAACCGGCTAATGTTGAAGAAGAAGAAGAAAGGCTAATAAAGTTTAATATATTATTGAAAAACAATGAAGATCTCAACACTGACAAAGAAGATTCATCGGCGAGTCACGCTTATCCGACGATATTGCAGCATGTTGCATCAGAGAGATATGAGATACTAGAGAACCTATATCAGAAAGCTTCTTCGGCTTTTATAAACTCTAGAACCGATGAGGACTTTAAGACGACCCACTTAAATATATTGGCTTTGCATTGGGCAGAGCTCGAGGATTATGAACAAGCCTCCAAGCTATTAAAAGATTCTATTGACATACAAAAAGACACATGCGGTCAATTTCATCCCGATCTGGCGGCTACTTTAACTAACTTGACGATTGTTTACAGTAAATGCGGTCACTTTGAGAAAGCTGAGGCTACATGTTTGGAAATTGTGGCCATAAAACAAAAATTGCGTGGCGCAGATCATTTAGAAGTGGCATCACATTTAAGTGACTTGGCTTCATTCTGCCAACATCAAGGCAAATATGAAGACGAGCGAATGTATCATCACCGAGCTTTGCATATATATGAGTCTCAACTGGGCGGCAACAGTGTTTGTGCTACACATACGAAATTGCTTTTGGCAAAATGTCTTGTCAGGCAGGGACAATTCGAAGAGGCTGACTACTTCTACAAACAAATATTGATGCAAGCTTATGAAAGAGGCTATGGCTTCGCTGACGACTCGCCTGAAATCATTCAGCAGCAGCAAGATGATGAAAATGTTGAAACGAATGTAGCGAATAAGGTTTGGTTTAAGAAGGCGAGCATAAATTTCCCTACCATCAGCGAGACCTTACTCTATATGTATGATTTATATTTGCGCAGAACTATATTGTAGATTTTTTAATAGGAATCGAATAAGATTTTTTTCATTATTTTAACTGTTTATTAAAAAGAAATTTATAAAAACTTTAATTTTTGTTTACTTTTCAATTCGTTTTAAGACCGATGTGAAATCAAAAACCAAAGTCGATTAGAAGAAAAACAGTTCAGTAGAAGGATATAGGCATAGAGTACACATGCAAATTTCAATTAATGAATGTATTAAAAATATGGAATGATAAGAGTGTAAAGTCTTAACCACCATGTGCGGAAATGATCATTTAATCAAAAAATATTTACATACTAGCGGAGTTTTATTCGCATATCTTGGAGAGAGATAAAGATTGCACGCTATGTCGTAAATGCAAAGAATTTGCAAAAGTTTTTCCGGAAAAATGTAAAACTACCCTATAATGGGCCACAGTTCACCATTACTGCTACTACTACTATGCCCTAACCTACAGGTATTCATATATATATATACATATTTTCAAAATAATTTGTTATATGGAAAGTGGCTGAAAATATGCTACAATCCGAAACATTTTCAGCAGCGTTCGTTCTTTGTCCACAACACATAAGTATATCAAATTTCGTTACAATATCACAAAAACGACGACATATCGATTGAATACAAGAATACAAGATGAACAGACGGACAGACAAGTTTCGATTGATGGGTATAATAAGAGGAATTTTTTTCTATGGCAAATTTGAAAGTTAGAGCACAGGTTGCAAGTTTCTGCGCAAAAAGGACTGTCAGGACTGCTAAAGAACGTGATGAGAACATTAAGGACGGAAAATTTTGCAATCTTGGATCAATAACTTGCGATCTTACATACAACAAACAAAGTACGCAATTGTGTACAAGTATTTGATGACGTCATCTTAATGTCACAAGAAACAGCCACTCTCTTACCGACCGCCGAATCGATAGTATGTTTATTGTACGAGAACTATAAAAAGCATTTTATTCAAAGTCTTGCATATTGCTAGCTAGACATTTTTCCCCCATGCCCGACAATCTTAAAAAAAAAAATTGCTGGTCTTTTGAGGCAAATCAATCATCGAGTAGTTTCCGTAGATTTTCCTAGAGAGTACAGCACTGCTCAACAAGTGCGTGTCCTATCTACACAAATGAATAGTAGTCCGGCCTTATAGGCTAGCACAAATAGGCCTGTTTTGGCGCACTGACAGATGTCATTTTTGCGTTGCCTTTTCTCTGGTGGAATCACTGAAGTCTTTTAACTGCTGGTGGTTGTGATCGGAATCAATTCTCTCATTAAACCTTAACAGTTTATAAAAGATCATACCCGCCTAGAATTCTTAAAATAAATCTACTTTCCATTCCCAATGACGTTGCGATGCAAAAGCAATTTGATTTTTTATCGTTCGGCTAAAGAAAAAATATTGTCGGCGGATGTTATTTATTTATTTGGCAGAAAACACTTTATCTTCGTTGTTGAAGCAAATATTTTCGCGCTGCGATATGCGTTGATATTACGAGCATTTATTTCTTACCACATGTCGAAGATTTAAAAAAAAACAAAACTCCAGGCATGTGTATCCTCTACAATACATATCGGGCCATCTATAGGCAAATGCTGCACGTCTGGTGTACATTTTATTTAAAAAGAAAGGAAAAAACTTACTTCTGCCTGAATTCCTTTCTATGATGGTAGCAAAATAATTCTTTACTTTGTTGCGTCCTTTGGGACTGCACGAAATTGTTTTCTATTGTGGAGCTGGCATTGAAGACTTTTCTGGTAATGTACAAGGTTATGCTGTAGTCATGCCTTTTGATAAACCCGGCTTTGGAGGAAAAGTTCTTTCATCTAAGGCAAGACAGCTTTAAAACCAGGCAGCTTTTCTAGGATTATATGCGAAATAAAATTTGCTCCTACATATAAATAAATCGATTTAATCCAACATTTGATCATCTAGTCTACTTAAAAAAAAAAAAAAGGAGAAGAGCCGATAGCCGAAGGTGGTTCGTGGTTCTAGAAGTTACACATTATTTACACATAACAACATCATTAGACGAATTTTACTTACATTAAAAAATTTTCTTTTTTTTTAGCAAATATTAATAAATGAGTTTGCTAAGGTTAAGGGAAAAATTGGAACAAACCGGTTTTCTTCACAAATTTAATAGGGGACTCGATTCACTGAAAATCGCAGTGCACTGAAGTTATGATGAAGAAGGAATTAAAGAAATTAAAAGTGGTTCCTTTGCGAGACTCACTTTTATTATTGAAACTATAGGCCAAAGTGCATAGCTAGAAGGCATATAATTGTCATATACAAGGGAGGTTATAACATAAACACATGCATAATTCCACTGAAGGACTACTGATGTACTTGCCTTGCGTAATAATCATTTGTTGCCTGCAACAGGAGTAATTCGTATGTTTAAGAATGTTATCGACTTTCCTTCAAACGCTTCATTTTAAAGTTAGTGGCAACGCGTTCTACTGTCGACGGGCAGGGACCACAAACAACATTTTGCCAAAGGACCTGAATTATTATTAATATGAAAAGCTTCCTCCATTTGATTGGGAAAAGTGCAAGTGTTTTATTAAAATGTTTCGCGGTAGAGATCAAATGATTTTTAATCACCTCAACGCATGCACAAACATACACAAGACATTGATTAGTCAATATTTCATAAAGAGATTCATAATCTTATGTTTACAAGTCCACATTAGACGCAAATCAAGCCACTTTTTTACAACATGTCTGGAGATGGTAGGTAGTCCGTAGGAAATACTGAAAAAATTGAAAGATAATTTTTTGTATCTCGAGATAACGATGACTTTCTATCTATCTATCTTTCGTTTTCATTTTTATATCCTTCGCTCGTTGAGGTACAAGGGCATATTAAGCTCGTGTGGATGTATGCAACAGACATAACGAATTCAGTTAGACGACCCAGCTTCTATAATAACGATCGATTTAATCTTGCCTGTACATCTGTCCGGTTGTCTTGTTTCCTATATTCAATCTATTGAAGACAATTTCTGAGATATAAATATTGCTCGGATCAGAACACCTTTTTTTTTTTGACCACTTCCCATATTACGCATTGTTTTGAAAGATCGTAAAGGTGATGGAGGTAAGTTTTTAAAATGAAATTTCAAAGTTATTTGTTTTAAAGTCAAATATGTTAACTTCACTAACTAATATACTAACTTGAACTATGAAAATATTTCATTGATTATAAGAGACGAAATTTGGCAAAAACAGCCTTGTTTGTTGCATATATTCTTATGAGAATTAAGTTAAACAAAAAAACAAAAAACTATTGATGCCACTGTTGACAATCAATGAACAAGCGCAAGTCAAAATGTAAATACGTTTATAGGAAAACAACAACAGCCAGCATATTGACTGAAAACAGTCAGTACATGCATACAATAACAGCGTAAATGATAAAGAATAGCGGCGTTTTGTGTTGTTGTTGGTATTGCTGTTGTGCTTTCAATATTATTGGCAAATCAAACGATCCAATCAATTAAATGAATTCATCTGTGAAAACGACCATTCAAACTGAGATACAACAAAAATGAAAATAAATAAACAGACAAGCTAACGCAAACAAACACATCTCCACAGATGTATATCAACGAGAATTTAGGCCTTTCTTCTCATACTACCAGCTAGCTAGCTAACGATATCAGATAACATACAATTTTTATTAACGCATTTGTAACTCTTGTACGAATGTGTATGGAGGGGGAACACAAATAAATCGGTTGAATAGAATTCATCTGTTGTGGTATTTGGAGGAACTTGAAGGCAAATCGCAAATGAAAGAAAATAATCTCTAGTATTATGGCCATAAAGCGTGCGCGAGAGTTAAAAAACGTCCAAGAAAAGAAAAACAAACACTTTTCTCTCCTCCTACCGCAATTCCATAGCTCCACACCTTAGAGAGTTTATCGGACTTTCGAAGTATTTGCAATTTGTCATAAAAAAAAGCGTTTGAAGATGTGGTGTGAAAGTTTTTACACTCTTCAGGGGCATAAATATCGAGTATATGCCTCTTCGCAAATATTTGGTGTTCACTAAAAATGAAAGAAGCAGTAGGAAGAGTTGCGTAATATTTGGGTTTTTACATGCGAAAGATCTGGTTCTAGAATTAAGTGTAGGCACAGCAGCAGAATACTACGTTTTTTCTTGGCTTCGGCACAAACAAAAAAAAAGTGTCTCTAAAAATATGACTCACAATTTAGCAAACGTGCGAACACCTTTTCCAAAAAAGAGCGAATTTGCAGTCGGCTTTTTTTTTAAAAGATCTCCTCGTCCAGCAGGTTCAATATTGCGAAGATATTTGAAAATGTTACTACAGGTAACTGCGCCTATCGAAAAGACTAAATCAAACGAACCGCGTCGGTATATTATCCATATAAAATCGATGGCTTCCGCTCCCCACAGCTTGCCGCCGTTTGCAAGACAATCCTGCATTATTTCGGAGGCCTCAACGAAGCCTGGAGCACCATATATAAGAGAATGGATATGGTCCAAACTCTTCCCTCTGGGCAAGACGAAGCCTATCTAGCATTTCTAGTTATTGAGGGTCTCTGGCAAAGGCAGTTTGGGCTAGCCACAACCACCACGATGCGAAAAGCAGTGTCCAGCAGGCAGGAAATCCATCACTCCCACGCCGAATTGAAAAATTTATGCGGCTATGCTTTGTGCGCGTGACTGTCCGAATGGGGTATGGTGATCCCCGTTTTCCCCCATAATCTGGCCCGTAATACTTTTAGTGTCGGCATTGGGCGACTCTAGCACTCAGATTATCCATACATCCGTACATGCAGTGCTATTCGACTTTTCCACCACGAATTTTAAATTAAATTCCGGGCACCCAATAACGCTATTATTTCTCTGGGGAAATCTGTCAGCAGATGACTTCCGATA